TAATAATATAATATATCTAATATATTTATATTACATGCAGCTAACTCTAAACCAAACCCTAACCCATATAGTAACTACATGTTATTAATTAATATTACTCAGTGCTTAATTGTTACACTGTAAGAAGGACACCTTAAAACAGTGCAACCTTTTTTCTTTTAATATTATGGATTAAATAGGAATATAAATATTTATTTTTTGAAAAATACATGGAATATGGTGAATAACTGGTTCTTAGCCCTAGTATTATAGATAAAAGATGTTTGCAGTCTGTGTGTGTTATGGTATATTATACAGTTTATGAGGACGCAAATGTGTATAATGGCATGGGTATTACAATGTAAACATGGTTTATGAGGACATGTCATGTATCCCGTAAACCAAATGGCTTTAAACATCCTAAACAGTGTTTTTTGACATTCAAAAATGGCCAGTTTTCTGTGAGGTGTAGGTTTAGGTAGGGTTAGGGTAATGGGATAGAAAATACAGTATAATACTGTTTGTACAGTATAGAGTCCTTGTAAACCAGATGTTTGTGTGTTGTGTATGTGTTCGCTTACCTCTGACACCCCACACACACCAAGACGATAAGGATGGTGACCACAAAGGCAGAGGCGGCGGCGATGGCCCCCAGTATCAGCACCTTGGGGAGATCTGAAATCATTCCACTGAGCTGTAGACACACACACACACACACACACACTCACACAGGTCCTGCCGTACGGCTCGTCCGGGGCACCTACACACACAGATAACACAAACCAGATCAGATCAGAAGCTTTGACTAGGCCCACAGCACACAGAACTGGTTTAACAATAAATGAATGAGAACACAGGAAAATGGATATAAATAAATGAACAAGTTACACTGAGGTACTGAATTATGCTAATAATTATTGACTTATAATATAATAATTATTAGATGCCTGCCTGGAAGGACGATGCAGAGGGATTGGAATGATTAATTAAAGAGGGTTAAGGCATGTCAAGATGTTTCATAACTATATTTATAGGAAACGTTTTGAGCAAGAAACTTGTTTTTTGACATATTGGACTGGCAACCAAATGAATGAATGTATAAAGGTGTCTCACATAATACGAAACTGTTTTACATTTACAAATAAATATTTAACATATAAACAAGGCTGGTTTTGTTGCTTTAGAAGTTTATGGTTTGGAGCAAGCATTAATTATTCATGTTTTATCTAATTTTGCTGTGCATTCTTTCATTTGTTTTACCCCATGTGGCTCAAGTGATTTGACCAATATACCTACAGCAAGAAAAGTGAGCTTAAGAAAGAATTATGTTTTAAGACCAGTATTCTGACTCAAATTAAAAAGTTTTTTAAAAAGTAGCCTACCTCTGCCAGTTGCTAGCTAAAGTGTCTCTAATCACCTGTCCTATTGCTTGCACTCATGAGTGACAGTCGTGGCTGGCGTTTAATCTCTCTCTGTGTACAGTAATGCCAAGGATTACATCTGAAGTTTAATATTTCTGCTGAGGCACGTCTGTGGGGGAAATATGAAGACTAGCTACAAGCAAAGCTAAGCTAACCGCGGCTAAGCTAAAGTCTCAGTCAACATTCAGTCATTAAATACATGTACAAATACAAGTCGCTGTGTTATCTATGACTCTCTCCTCGAGTTATGCAAATATCATGTTTTTTGAACGTCTGCTATGGTATGGTATTCTTAGAAGTACCATGAAAATACCACGGTACATGAACATGAACGTTCAGTAATATGGTATATAAGTACTGTGATATTATACTGTGTCCTAATCAGACACTGCAAGTTTTCAGCAAGAAGCAACTTGTCTGTCCACAACTGCTGGGTGATTTGACAAAATCACAGAGAATCATAATATATGAGGGTCAAAGACGAGACATCCCATTTTGGTGTCCACATTAAAATACATTTACAAATATATACATATAGCATATTCCCTTACGAAAATAACCATGGTTATATTATAATAAAACTGTAGTAACCATGGTTTTTTGGCATATTGATTACCATTTGTATAACCACAGTTTTACTACAAATACCACTATGGTTAGTGTAGCAAAACATGGTTAATTTGTAGTTACCATGGTTTAACTACAATAACCATGTTTTTCCCCCCTGTAAAACCATTGTTAATTTCTGTAAGGGTTAAATGCATGTAAAGTGTCGACTTTAATGTTTCAAATAACTTTTGTGAACATTTTTCTTTCTCAGAATTTTTTTCCGTGGTAAAATCGTGGTAAAAATGTATGATTTTATTGCTCAAAAAATGTATTAAACTTTTATTGTCTTGCTTTAAACACCCTTTTTGTCTTTGACCCATGACCCAGTAAGATTTTTTTGACAGAAATTAATACTTGTATAAAGCAAGAATGCATTAAATTGATCTAAAGTGACTGAAAAGACATGCATAATGTTACAAAAAAGTTATTTTGTCAATGGGATTTTCAAATAAGTGCTGTTCTTTTGAACTTTCTATTCAACAAAGAATCCTGAAAAAAAATGAATCAGTGTTTTCAACAATATAATAAGAAGAAATGTTTCTTGAGCAGCAAATCAGCATATTATACTGATTTCTGAAGGATCATGTGACACTGAAGACTGGAGTAATGATGCTGAAAATTCAGCTTTACATCACAGGAGTAAATTACATTTGAAAATACATTCAAATAAAAAACAGTTATTTGAAATTGTACTAATATTTCACAATACTGCTGTTTTTACTTTTAAACAAATAAATGCAGCCTATAGGAGAGCATCGTATACATTAACATAAGGTACAAAATGTCAGATTTCAGTGAAATTTCACAGTGAATGTAGTCAATTTTTGCAAAGTACAGCTATCATTTCTCTCAAATAAACATCAAGATGATGAACTACTAAAATGTTTTAGTACATACTGTATATACGGCTCTGACATTTTTCATCACGTCATTAAAAATGCCAGCCTGGCATATGAAGAAATCCATCATACATCACAGACTAAAGAGAGAAGTGTTGATGTTTGGTGTGAAGCTAGCTGGACTCATTCCTCTCCTTTACACACGGGATCAAATATCAGTTTTTCAAGATGGTCTGAGCTTTCCCCTCTAAATACACACACACACAAAACACAAAATGAAATGTGGCCAAAGCACAGGATTAGTCTGAGAAACAGAGAGAGCGAGGGAGGGAGAGCGGCATATGACAAAAGACCGATTCGGGAAAGGAGGTCATGGAAATCCAAAAGCGTTCACCATTTTTATGACTGTGGGTGTGAATCGCACACGTGTGTGTGCGGATGGTTGATAAAACAAGAATCTGTGCGAGATAAACACTGTTTTCACGTTCTCAAAGATATTATTGCATCCTTCTACCATCCCAGAAAAATTCTAAACCATCCTCCCTCCCTCTCTCCTCCGTCTGATGCTGCTGTCAGCACATTTCCTAAACATTCAGTCGGAATGGACCGAGGAGAAGCTGCAGCTAAACGACGAAAGAAAAGAAACGAGGAGAGTATTGAATGGTTATATTATAATAAAACTGTAGTAACCATGGTTTTTTGGCATATTGATTACCATTTGTATAACCACAGTTTTACTACAAATACCACTATGGTTAGTGTAGCAAAACATGGTTAATTTGTAGTTACCATGGTTTAACTACAATAACCATGTTTTTCCCCCCTGTAAAACCATTGTTAATTTCTGTAAGGGTTAAATGCATGTAAAGTGTCGACTTTAATGTTTCAAATAACTTTTGTGAACATTTTTCTTTCTCAGAATTTTTTCCCGTGGTAAAAATGTATGATTTTATTGCTCAAAAAATGTATTAAACTTTTATTGTCTTGCTTTAAACACCCTTTTTGTCTTTGACCCATGACCCAGTAAGATTTTTTTGACAGAAATTAATACTTGTATAAAGCAAGAATGCATTAAATTGATCTAAAGTGACTGAAAAGACATGCATAATGTTACAAAAAAGTTATTTTGTCAATGGGATTTTCAAATAAGTGCTGTTCTTTTGAACTTTCTATTCAACAAAGAATCCTGAAAAAAAATGAATCAGTGTTTTCAACAATATAATAAGAAGAAATGTTTCTTGAGCAGCAAATCAGCATATTATACTGATTTCTGAAGGATCATGTGACACTGAAGACTGGAGTAATGATGCTGAAAATTCAGCTTTACATCACAGGAGTAAATTACATTTGAAAAGTGACTGAAAATACATGCATAATGTTACAAAAAAATGATTTTGTCATTGGGATTTTCAAATAAGTGCTGTTCTTTTGCACTTTCTATTCAACAAAGAATCCTGAAAAAAAATGAATCAGTGTTTTCAACAATATAATAAGAAGAAATGTTTCTTGAGCAGCAAATCAGCATATACTGATTTCTGAAGGATCATGTGACACTGAAGACTGGAGTAATGATGCTGAAAATTCAGCTTTACATCACAGGAGTAAATTACATTTGAAAATACATTCAAATAAAAAACAGTTATTTGAAATTGTACTAATATTTCACAATACTGCTGTTTTTACTTTTAAACAAATAAATGCAGCCTATAGGAGAGCATCGTATACATTAACATAAGGTACAAAATGTCAGATTTCAGTGAAATTTCACAGTGAATGTAGTCAATTTTTGCAAAGTACAGCTATCATTTCTCTCAAATAAACATCAAGATGATGAACTACTAAAATGTTTTAGTACATACTGTATATACGGCTCTGACATTTTTCATCACGTCATTAAAAATGCCAGCCTGGCATATGAAGAAATCCATCATACATCACAGACTAAAGAGAGAAGTGTTGATGTTTGGTGTGAAGCTAGCTGGACTCATTCCTCTCCTTTACACACGGGATCAAATATCAGTTTTTCAAGATGGTCTGAGCTTTCCCCTCTAAATACACTCACACACACAAAACACAAAATGAAATGTGGCCAAAGCACAGGATTAGTCTGAGAAACAGAGAGAGCGAGGGAGGGAGAGCGGCATATGACAAAAGACCGATTCGGGAAAGGAGGTCATGGAAATCCAAAAGCGTTCACCATTTTTATGACTGTGGGTGTGAATCGCACACGTGTGTGTGCGGATGGTTGATAAAACAAGAATCTGTGCGAGATAAACACTGTTTTCACGTTCTCAAAGATATTATTGCATCCTTCTACCATCCCAGAAAAATTCTAAACCATCCTCCCTCCCTCTCTCCTCCGTCTGATGCTGCTGTCAGCACATTTCCTAAACATTCAGTCGGAATGGACCGAGGAGAAGCTGCAGCTAAACGACGAAAGAAAAGAAACGAGGAGAGTATTGATATAAATGGAGGTATAAAGACCAGACAGACAGTATCAAGCTTCGGGCGAAGTATTTGTTGGTGTGTGTTATTCAGTGCTTCCCCATGGGAAGATATCTCTAGCAACAATTCGTACGTCTCTGTTGTTCCCACCTCTCACCATAGCAGCGCTGATGAATGCACAAACGAAACACACACACACACTTTAATCTGAGTGTGTGTGATTAAGCTCGCATATCTTTGCACAGAGGAAATGGCAAGTTTGCAGCGTGTAGCAGGGCTATATGCATTTTCTCTGAATTACCACAAAAGAAAAAGCTTTCTTTATGCTTCAACCTGCACTTTCAGCGCATTAAATGCGTCATCTAAAGAAATACAAGCACAAAAAAAGGTCTGAACTATGAACAACGACCCTATTTAGATGGAAATCAGCTACAATGTTTCTCGAT